GGGGGGGCGGTACTGGGTCCCATCATCCTCCAGACACTGAAATGAAACCCTTCAGCGGAATCTGTGTCGGTGGTGAGGAGGACGATGGACGCCGCTTCTCAATCACTGAGGGGGCAGCGGCGCCATACACTCCGTCACATGAGGAGACAAGCTCCGCCGTCATCCCCCCCAGACGTGTCAGAGGGAAAACACCCCAAAAATGAAGGAGGATCACAGGAAGGAACCCCTGCTGCCCTACCCCCCAAACTGGAAATGCCATGGCAGGTGTCACCCTACAACGTCTTCCGCCATAGGTCAGTGAACGGGAGGGGTTCCATTATTCTGGCCACTCTGCTGCACATCACACACAGCTCAGTACTGGTGACCACACATTTCATGGTAGACCGAGAGTGACGGCCCGTCCATACTCAGGGGTTTCCATTATTTTGTCCGCCTCCCGTTCAGGTCCAGTGTGCCCCCTCACACCCGATATCCCGCCCCCGCTTACCCGGTTCCGCAGTCCACCACACAGGCCGGGAGTCGAGCCGCCATGACTGATCTGGGAGCGGCTTCCGCACACTCTGACAGCAAGATGGCGGCCACAGGAAGCCTCCACCTAGAGCCAGCCAATCACAGGGCAAGCGCTGAGCCTCGGCCAATCCGGCTCTTGACAGCGTCACCTTCTCAACCAATCACAAAAGAGAGCCGGGGCGTTACAACCAATTAGAGAGAAAAACCGAAGCGCCGCAAACTCTGAGGGTTAGAAAGAGGAAGTCAGAGCTGCGCTGTGGGTGCACCGAGAGCGATAAGAAAGACAATTTACTCTATATACACCGAACACACGATCTCTATGTGCCCCAAAACATGTCATTCACCCGATAAATCTTGCGCATGCTTAATCGCCTCGCCCCTTACAGATATCACGCATGTGCAGTAGCCGCGGGTCGACTTGGACGGCACGCATGCGCAGTGTGCACGGGCCAGGCGCTGATCTCGCGGTGTTTGCACAGACCATCCCGGAAGTGTCAGTGAGGAGCTCCTTTGGAATGGACACAGACATTATAGAGTGTCAGCTCTTCTGTCCAGGTGATATTCTCTATTTTGTGAATAATGTCTGTTCGTTTCAGCGTTCTGTCATGGCTCCGAGCACCCCATAATACCACATATTGTTGCTGCCAGTGGTCACATGACAGCCATACTTGGCATGCTGGCATTCGTCACATGACACAATGGTGGTGTCACATGATATGGAGGCACATGACACTGTGCAGTCTCCAACCTGCACCCCATCTCTTATCCATCCCATTCCCCGTCTCTTCTCCTTCCCATTCCTCATCTCTTCTTCCCATTCCCCGTCTCTTCTCCTTCCCATTCCCGTCTCTTCTCCTTCCCATTCCCTGTCTCTTCTCCTTCCCATTCCCCATCTCTTCTCCTTCCCATTCCTCGTCTCTTCTCCATCCCATTCCCCATCTCTTCTCCTTCCCATTCCCCGTCACTTCTCCATCCCATTCCTCGTCTCTTCTCCTTCCCATTCCCCGTCTCTTCTCCTTCCCATTCCCCGTCTTTTCTCCTTCCCATTGCCCGTCTCTTCTCCATCCCATTCCCCGCCTCTTCTCCATCCCATTCCCCGTCACTTCTCCTTCCCATTCCCCGTCTCTTCTCCTTCCCATTCCCTGTCTCTTCTCCTTCCCATTCTCCGTCTCTTCTCCATCCCATTCCCGTCTCTTCTCCTTCCCATTCTCCGTCTCTTCTCCATCCCATTCCCGTCTCTTCTCCTTCCCATTCTCCGTCTCTTCTCCATCCCATTCCCGTCTCTTCTCCTTCCCATTCTCCGTCTCTTCTCCATCCCATTCCCGTCTCTTCTCCTTCCCATTCTCCGTCTCTTCTCCATCCCATTCCCGTCTCTTCTCCTTCCCATTCTCCGTCTCTTCTCCATCCCATTCCCGTCTCTTCTCCTTCCCATTCTCCGTCTCTTCTCCATCCCATTCCCGTCTCTTCTCCTTCCCATTCTCCGTCTCTTCTCCATCCCATTCCCGTCTCTTCTCCTTCCCATTCTCCGTCTCTTCTCCATCCCATTCCCGTCTCTTCTCCTTCCCATTCTCCGTCTCTTCTCCATCCCATTCCCGTCTCTTCTCCTTCCCATTCTCCGTCTCTTCTCCATCCCATTCCCGTCTCTTCTCCTTCCCATTCTCCGTCTCTTCTCCATCCCATTCCCGTCTCTTCTCCTTCCCATTCTCCGTCTCTTCTCCATCCCATTCCCGTCTCTTCTCCTTCCCATTCTCCGTCTCTTCTCCATCCCATTCCCGTCTCTTCTCCTTCCCATTCTCCGTCTCTTCTCCATCCCATTCCCGTCTCTTCTCCTTCCCATTCTCCGTCTCTTCTCCATCCCATTCCCGTCTCTTCTCCTTCCCATTCTCCGTCTCTTCTCCATCCCATTCCCGTCTCTTCTCCTTCCCATTCTCCGTCTCTTCTCCATCCCATTCCCGTCTCTTCTCCTTCCCATTCTCCGTCTCTTCTCCATCCCATTCCCGTCTCTTCTCCTTCCCATTCTCCGTCTCTTCTCCATCCCATTCCCGTCTCTTCTCCTTCCCATTCTCCGTCTCTTCTCCATCCCATTCCCGTCTCTTCTCCTTCCCATTCTCCGTCTCTTCTCCATCCCATTCCCGTCTCTTCTCCTTCCCATTCTCCGTCTCTTCTCCATCCCATTCCCGTCTCTTCTCCTTCCCATTCTCCGTCTCTTCTCCATCCCATTCCCGTCTCTTCTCCTTCCCATTCTCCGTCTCTTCTCCATCCCATTCCCGTCTCTTCTCCTTCCCATTCTCCGTCTCTTCTCCATCCCATTCCCGTCTCTTCTCCTTCCCATTCTCCGTCTCTTCTCCATCCCATTCCCGTCTCTTCTCCTTCCCATTCTCCGTCTCTTCTCCATCCCATTCCCGTCTCTTCTCCTTCCCATTCTCCGTCTCTTCTCCATCCCATTCCCGTCTCTTCTCCTTCCCATTCTCCGTCTCTTCTCCATCCCATTCCCATCTCTTCTCCTTCCCATTCTCCGTCTCTTCTCCATCCCATTCCCGTCTCTTCTCCATCCCATTCCCCGTCTCTTCTCCACCCATTCCCCGTCTCTTCTCCCTCCCCTTCCCCTCTCTTCTCCTTCCCCTTCCTCGTCTCTTCTCC